GCATCATGCAATGTCCGTTTTCTTTTCCTCCCTCTCTGGACCCTCCGAGTCTGGATTCTGCTATTACAACCTTTGTTCCTCCCTAACATTGACCACAGTGATGACCACGACAGCAACAACGAAGACGACGACGAAAACAGTTCCGTACCTGGACCGGTGACGATGACAGTGCTCGTCTCGACATCTGTCCCGCAGTACATAGGTTCTGTACAAATTTCCAGAATCAGAGCACGCGACCAGAGCGTCTCGCCAATATCCCCAGGCTGTCGCGCAGCCCATTATCAAACTCCTCCAAAGCTCAGGGTGTCGTCTGAGACTCTGAGTGGCGGACTTCTCGACACTATTGCGACGTCCCATCCCATCAACCACATGCACCCCTTCTGAATATATCTGCTCCGAAATACCCGATCCCGTCATCGGTATCGCTTTCCACCTTCTTGCAATATGCTCACCTGTGAGTGCCCATGCACGCGGACTAATTCCTCAGTCGCCGCTGCCCAGGATCTGGAGCTGCTATCCAGACTTGGCTGGGTTTCTCCGCTGCCCCAATGTCATGGACCCTCAAAGTACAAGTCATGCGACTCTTGTTGTCGTTCTCAGCGACAACAAGTTGATGCCCACGCGAAATTCGGCATTCAGCACGAGTTCAAGCTCTATTTACTCTGATAATGACAACGGCGATGATCTGGTTACACCTGGAATCATGCCTGGTGGACTTTCCGGTTGGCCAAGGATCTCGGGCATTGACGACGCGCATCTTCATTCATTCAATCGACTTTAGGTATGTATTTCTATCGAGCGAGTTTCCCTGGTTTGCAAGCGTTCATTGATGGAAAAACAGACCAAACAGACTGCTCAGGTCCTGACTGCTATCAATGTCGGACAAGACTGCTCAGGTTCTGACTGCTATCAATGTCGGACAAACCCCAAGTGGATGGGTCTGTCCTAATCAGCGGAGTCCTCCAGGTATCCCTGAAGAAGGCCGCCGCAGATCCAATTGACTTCAGGTATGTATTTCTATCGAGCGAGTTTCCCTGGTTTGCAAGCGTTCATTGATGGAAAACAGACCAAACAGACTGCTCAGGTCCTGACTGCTATCAATGTCGGACAAACCCCAAGTGGATGGGTCTGTCCTAATCAGCGGAGTCCTCCAAGTATCCCTGAAGAAGGCCGCCGCAGATCCAATTGACTTCAGGTATGTACTTGAGCGAGCCCCCCCTCCCCCCCCCCCCCCACCCCCAAATTTTCCACTTACTAATGTCAAATCATAGCATTCTGAATCATTGACGGAAAACAGACCAAGCAGACTGCTCAGGTTCTGGCAGCCGTCAATGTCCTCCAATTAATCATCCAGGCACCCAATCTGTGCGTCGCACTTTTATCAGTATTTGGGTAGGAATGCTCATTTTCTTTGCAGGTCCAGGAGATATCCGAACAATACACGTGCATTCTTTACTAAAGATGCTGGCATACAGACCTTGGGCACATACCTCCAGCAAGCTTGGTATCTCTCTGGCGATCCAACAAGCGACAGATCCAACGTCATTCACGCCACGCTGCATCCTCAATGGGGCCCTTATTATGTACTCTTCCTGCGAGCTTCCATTGTCTGGCAGGGAATCTCAAACTGTAAGAGTCAGGATGTTTAAGTCGGAACTACTGATCAATTTCGTTGGCTAAATTCGATATTAACATGTCCAACAAACCCATAACAGATGGGTCTGCCCCAACGCACTCATCGTCTCTTGACATCAACTGCAGCTCATTGCGGCGGTCAGTTCTTACGTATGGTATGTTCAGAGGCTGATTCAGCCCGTGTCAATGCTGCGGCACTCATGTTTTGTCATAACGCCCTAGTATCCGTGCCAAGACCAGCACACTTCACATTGCACATTGAATCATTCCTCCGCCTGAATCAACCGCACTTGCACCGACAGTGCTGCTTTCAATGGATGAGAGTAATATTGCAGCATCCTCGTTTTAACTTAACCGTAAGTATGAGTCCATTCTCATGATCCGAGTCTACAGCCACTCATTTGATGTCATTCAGAGGCTTATCAAGGTTCCGAATACACCGTTAATCACATAACCTGTCCTCCGTGCCCCAATACCACGCCCCGTATGCACTGGTCCGACATGTTCCAGCTCATCCAACTACATATAAATTGTAGGTGTTGCGCTGTTGGTATAGCACCACTTCGACGTTAATTGTCATTGATTTCGTTGACTCACCTTAGACTTGTTACCATGTCTCAAATTCGTTATGCTGTTGACGAATCTTCGTCATCTGGTCCAGGTGAATCATCGTCTGATGAGAGGCCTGGACCTACGCATAGTGCTATCCAAGGGTCGATCTCAAATCCTGTTCAACGACAGGCTACCAGTGCGGCTGAACGAAAACCGCACCATTCTAGACACGAAGCAGAAGTAAGTACATGATTCGCTTTTGTATCACTCACCGAGGCATTATTGATGTCTGCAGGGGGTCAAGAATGCGCAGCTTGAGAACCAGGCACTGAAGGAAAGACTCCGCGTTGTGGAGGAACAGAACAAGATACTATCGACCAATAAGGGTCGTCGCAAGAAGGATGATGCGGTTGCTGACGACATTCTGGCCTTCGAAGCGGAACTCAAGGTCTGCGCAAAACGATACGGGCTCATGGTCAATATGTTCCCTCCGCTGGCAGCCCTGCTCAAAATGACACTTCCCGACCCTGCACTGTCATTCAATACGGCTGCTCGGTATGCTACTACAGGTTCACAGGAGATTGCAGTTCTGGCAGAATTGTACGACACGCTCCCCCAACACCTGCATTACCTGGTGCCGATGAATCGGTTTTCGAACATGGTAATACATTTATCATGCAACGTCTTACTCAGTACCATTGACACTATCTACAGTTCTCCAAGGCAGTCTGTGCTGGCCGTGCCTCCGAGCTTAACAAGCTCAGGAGTGTCGCTGGTCAGATTTTCGAGCTTCCTCAGCGTTACTTCGCCATCTCATTTGCTCGCGACACAGAGCCTGAGATTCGCCGACTACTTGGCACCACTGGCAATCCCGGCGAATTATATCCGACTCTGCCACCTATGTTGTTTCCAGGGAATACTGTTGACCCCAGTCGCAAAACCCTGTTTGGCAACTGGCAACTCATTGCTAAGGTGCGCCGTCATTCATTTCATTCACATTTAAATTTAACATCTGAATCTAATATACATTGTATCAATAGACGCTGAGCTGCTGCCTGAAGGGCAGAACATCACTCTCCAATGAGGGTAGACGACAGGGTGGTGCTCCGCCCAATGCAGTTAAGTGGGGCGTCACGGCAGTAACACCTGGGGCTGTGGCTTGGGCTATTGTCGCAGTAAGTCTAGGCCTTTATTCATTGCGCTCGTCTTGGCTGATTCGATTTCGTACGCTTCTAATAGAACATCTTTCTATTATCACCCGACCAGGAATTTCCCCAAGAAGGCAAAGGGAAGACCTCCAGAATCAACTACGGCGCACTCTTTGCGTTCTTTAAAGAACTGCTGATCTGCGGCTGGGAGAAGCCTCGCATAAAGACGATCACCAAACATATCAATACCTTCGTTTTCGAACGCAGTTCTCGCCCCTCTCACGATCTTAACAGTAGGGACTCGGCTGATGATCTTCAAGAAGAAATGCGCCTCGCTCGACTTGGATTAGCGGCAGACACAGAAGATGATCCGCCTCTGTCTGATTCAGACAATGAAAATGCTAGTACTGGTATTGATGTCCTCACTAAAGCTACAGGCAATATAGCTATACGTGATTCCAACGAGGCTCCTACTCCTTTATCAACTATCACTACGACGTCAACCATCACTGCCAGTGTAGCAAGCAACTCTTCGCTGATCACCAGTCTTCAAGTTCATCACGGACCTGGACCAGATGAAACTGCCGGTCCAGGAGAGGTAGCAGTAGCCAAAGAGGTTGTCAAGACGAAGCCTAAGGCTGGTAGGCCCAAAAAGCCAAAGGCGCTACAGGACAGAGATGTGGAAGCCCCAAAACGACGCGGCCGCTCCGAGTCGAAGAAATGATACCACTATGCCAACTTTTCTCCTGATTGTTATGATAGGTACAGTTAATACTTAGACTCACAACGTCTCTTCAAGTATTATACTTAGATTCAGATGTACTGATGTCAAGTGTCTGCTCTTTCAATTGACAATAGCTAGTCTTAGTACTACTACAACGAATCAAATAAGTATACCGGGTTCACCATGATGATAACCACTTCGCAATCTCTGTGCGGCGATTATGTCAGCATTGCAACAGACATTGCTGGCGTTTTAGTTTCCCTTTTGAACTTAGTCCACACTGTTGGAATCGTCTCTCTTTAACCATTATAACACTTTCTGAATCGCATTGAAGATTGTCTTGCTAGTCCTGGTCCTGAATCGTTGGTCTCGTCGGTATTGACCAGTTCTTGCTCAAGAGTGGAACTCTCGCCACCTCTGAGACTGCACAACACGTCGAGTCTCGGTCATGAAGTTCTCCAATTCAGACGTCGTGTCTCCTGGACCTGTCGTACAGGTCCAGGTCGCTGTTGAGGTCAATTTAAAGGACACTGCAGATTTGCCCAAGCTTATTATTGTCGCAGGGCTCAAGCATGTGTTGGAGTCTGACCTCTGTATCCAGACTTGGATTGCTTATACTGGTGAGCACATTGTCGCTGGTGCTGGTGACTGTAACGTCTGATTGAGACTGTAACCCTTATTGTAGGATCTCCAAGAAGACCACGCTGGTGTTCCTCTCAAGGCATCTGACCCCGTCAATGGCTACCACGCAACGATCGTCAAGGCTGAGTCCACGACCTCGTCCAAGTCGCAGAATAAACACAGCTGTCTCTACACCAAGGCAATGCCTCTCGATGAGGAACTCACCAAGGCAATCGAGGCTGGTATCGTTAACTCCCGTGACAGTGTCATCGATGCAAGGAAGATCTGGTGTTTCGGTCCCGATACCACTAGTGGCTCCAACTTGCTCATAGACGTTATCAAGGGTGTGCAGTACCTCGACGAAATCAAGAACTCTTGCATCGCTACCTCCCAGTGGGCAACAAAGGATCTGGGTGTGTCCGCCGAGGAGAACATGCGTAGTATCCGCATCAACATCCTCGATGTCACTGTAAGTGCATTTCATACCTAACTATATTGCTTCTTATTCTGTTACGCTGCATGTTCGCTTGCCGCCTCTCGTCTCCAAGAGCTGGCGTACCTTAGACTTGGTATGTCCCACTCGCATCGCATTTTCCAGATACTGATTCAGATGATTCAGGCCGTCGCCACAACTATTGACCCTTGCAGATGATGACTTGCCTTATCCTGAAGTGCAATCGCAGAAAAGGAATGGGATGCAGCTGTGCATGAAAACCACTACAAATACTCGAGAGCGCCTCCGCCGGCTTTGATAGAGATTATAATATACAATTATATCCATTATAATGCGCAATAAAATTTATGTTGTAATTGGCAATACATGTGGGAATAATTGACATGTGCAACACAAACCCATCGTAACGCGCAAGCCAAAGATCACCATTATATTGAAAAATCATTGCAACTACGTCGAAAATAATTGAAAACATAATGTATTTGGAAATGTAACGAGCATTACAGGTGCAGATGTAATGATTACGGCACCATTATAATACGTATTCCAAACCGTGGCTTCTATTGCAATGGTTTGCGAATCACGTGTTATATTGGGACTATTACAAAGCATCCTAATCAGTTGAAATCAATTTACGAGATTTCCGACATAGCTCCGCCTTGTTGTGCTTTTCGCCCCCCAGCACACCAAAGGGAGTTACACGGCAAGGTGGGCAGAGCTCTGAAGATGCGCAGCAGGCAAATTATCCAATGGCACTGAGTTCTAACTGAAGAGCAAGAGCAACAACGAAAATTTGGTGCCAACGATCACGTGACTGGCGGATCAACACACAAACAACGCGTCAATTGCATCACGTGATCGGTAGTTCTAATCCATCCATCGATGATCGATCAACCAGGTACGGTACGTTCTATTGTCTTTATGTAGTACAAATCAGACTTTCTACTCCTTGGCACCACCAGTGGTCGGAGCCATCAAACAGTTTGTCGATCTGGGGCAAAAGAGCCTTCCGATGCAGCGTGCCAATCAGATGCCGTAGCACCACTATCAGATCCTAGAAAATGTATTAGGTCTGGTTACGCTATTGATACATGCAGCTCACCTTTCGGGCCTGGATGCCGTTGGAAGGCAAGTCTTGCATTAGTCGAAGAGCAGCAAGAATAAGCCTTTCTCCAAAGGAATCGAACTGTTCTCCAATGCCTCGCATGATGTATGCAACATAAGATACCATCTACCAATGAGGGCAAGTGTACTACACGAGGTGGAAGATGAAAACAAATAATACTGCATTGATAGAACGACATTCCTGAAGGTTGTATGGTTGCCGAAGTTGGCAGCCGATTGGCTGAAGATTGAACATCTCGATACAAGGATGTTCAAAGATGTTCAGGTAGGTAAATAACTTCGGGAGATGTGCGGATGCGGAGATGAGAGGGAACGAGGAGAGAGAGCGCAGCACGATTGACTGAAAATGTTGTTACATAGTGAATATATGGAACAGTTGGAGTAGGACGTACGTGAGAAGCCGCAGGAAGTGCTCAAAGGTAAGTGCGCTTGATGAAGAGTGTTGGGTCTGCTGGATCGTGGTGTTAGAATGAGTAGTCTCCGCTGAGACTCTTTTCTTGGCCAGCGGTAGTGTTGAGTGCTGGCGTAAGAATGACATTGCTGAATCGACATCAGCGATCTTTTCCGCATCTAGATTGTAGGGCTATATTGAGGCGGTGATCGGAATTCGAGATGTGCTGCAAGTCTGTGATGAGAATGTCAGATCCTGGGAGGACGGAAGAGACATTCGGGCACTGGAGCAGACTTTCCAGGGAATGATGCGTGACGACTCCAGCAGAATCCGGCCTGCACATGGAAACCGGAAGAGATCTCACCGAGGGAGGGTAGTAACCAAATTACACACAAGTGCACTACAGGTCAAGGCGACTGTAGCCTGTATTGCGGTCGAGTTCAAGACAGTTACCAACATGCACCGTGACAGAGCCCCGGGGCTCGACAACTGGTAGTAACATGTGGTCGTCCCAGTATTCACTGGCAAAAAACCTAGATTGTCATTTTGAAGGCGAATCGACCACTTACCTGTGTCGAAAACGAATGTCAAGGAGTGTTCCCGCTGGAAGCCATGGTCAGCGATGAAATCGAAAGTCGGTTACGAACACACCTTGATGTTCTTCTCCAGAGTCTTGAATTCGGAGTCGGAATCAAGTCCAGCTTTGAGCAGACTCTTGGCATTACATTGCTTGAGAGCCTCGAGTTGTGTTTCCTGACCGTCGCATGTGTTCGGCCAGCTGTTCTTGACTTGGGGATTGAAAGTGCGACTGCCAGTGTGACGCTCGTTTGGTGCACCTTTAAAACCACCGTCTTTGGCTGTAGTCAAGCTGGAAGCGTAAAGGTTGGCGTTAACTTCAACAATGAGGACTAGGGTTGGCACTGGGGGAGGCGTTCGGGCGTTCCAAATGTTTGCCTTGGAACAGCATCAGTTTCAACGACATACATGGCGGAGTGGTGCACACCTTGATTGATGCGAACTTGGGCTGCATTGGTTTGCACTGATCCTTCTTCGACTGCGGTGCGCCAGAAGCGGTGTCAAGGAGAAACTCCTGCTCCAGGTGAATACTCTCATAACAACTTCAAGATCTGGAGCATTAGCTCGACAGAGGAGCGTGAGTGTATCAAAGGATTCTGGCTCAGTCTGGACGAGGACGAGTGTCGCAATTCAGTCAAGGTCAAGAAGGCTAGTCGGTGTCTCAAACGGGTAGGAAGAAGCAGCCCAATGCCCATCGAACCAACCCAACAAGGCAAACTCAGGCTAGCGTGAAAATGACACTTCGTCCTGTTGCCGGAGGACGATGTTTCTGTGGCACGGATGCATTGGATGACGTTGGAACCCTAGTAGTAATTACATTAAAAACAAGCTGAACCTAGTCTACACAAGCTTTGGAAATGGCTGGGAGAGACCTGTAAATTATAATCATAAATGCATCGAAAGGCGAGGGTCGACGTTGCAACTGTAGAATTTCGATTAGGCGTCGATAAAGGTAGTAGGGCTTTGTAGGACGTACATTGCAAGATTAACGGTTTCTCTGACTTGTGGAAGGATAAAGTCCCAGTTAGCCACTAGCTCGGATGCGACTGAAATCATTTCTTCGAAAAAATTGGCAGTCTCGGCGTCATCAGCTAAGTCTGGACTGTAAGAAGGATCGAATGCCCGAATGGCAGCCCAGTTCCAGTCCGCGCTAAAGGCGTGTTGCAACTGAGGGGACACATGAGTTAGTTAATAGACAAACGAAAGAAGAAACGCACCGTAACAATAGAGCACGCTAGCGTGTATCTGAAATTAACAAGACCCGGTCCGCTGTTGAGGACTCGAGGGCCCGAGTGGTTGTTGACGATTTCGTGGCGTATAGCGTCAGCGTAGTTATTAGCGAGAAACTCGGCCATCAAGCCCAAGGGAAGCGTGTTGCGAAATAACCTTTTTTCCCCCTATATACGTTCTCGAATCGTCAACAGAATGGCAAAAAATGCGAACAAAAATACGCACCGTAAGTGAGTCGTGAAAATGCAACCATTCGTACCGCGTTTCGTGCTGTCGGGCTAGCGTGATCCTGTCGACAACGAGAGCACTGAAAGTGAACACGACGGGATCCAAGATATTTGCTTGTACAAGGTATCCGAAACAACACTTTTTCCACAACGACACTAGTCGGATAGGCCCGCGCGTCCCGATCTCGGCGTTCAAGGCTAGTAGGGCCGGATTCTCTTGTCGAGCCTCTGTAGCATAAGTAGCGATAAGATAAATCAAAAATTTTGAAAATATACTTACCACTTATATTATTTTTGAGGGCGACCATTTTGTAATGGCGGCCTGCTTCTGCCCTCAATATCGCGGGGACCAAAGTCCATGCGCGCAAGATGACTATAGCAAACACAGCCTGGTGCATGTCCTTGAACATGCGTTTCGTAATCTTTATAAAGCGTCAGCGAGTCAACTTTTGAGCATAGCATTTGACTTACGGGGGCGCCAGGAAAAAATGGATGATCCGGCGAAGAAATCATGTACGGGTCGTAATTAGGGGGCGGTCCGCGTGCGTTATCCTGGTGGACGACGGTTCCATCCTGGTGGGACATGGTGTATGTAGCGGGTGGCGAATGATCTGGGGACCGGGGTGAAAGACTGCACGCGCCACACTTTATATCTTGTACAGGCTGCGTAGGGCAGGCAGCTAAGCAGCCACCCGCCTAGCAATTGAATTGATACTTGCCGTACGCAGAGTAAAAGGTAAGCACTTACTAAGTTACAAATCGGACCCGAAATCCATTCATTCGAGTTGAACTCTCTGGGGCGGCGAACTTCTGATCGGAATGTTATTTTAAAATCACAATTTGATTGGGTAGCGTTCAAGTGAACGCCAAGTAGAATGCTACATAACGGTGTCCGTTGGTATGTCAATAGCTTAGGTGACCTCACTTACCCGTCGTCATCCTCGTGTCGCGCACGACGCCAATCGGTGTTCGGTTCAGTGCAGTTACTTTGGGGTGGTAAGTTGGGCGAATACTATATCGAAGGAAATAGGGTATCCACGTAAAAATCAACAGGTTGGGCGGACCAACAACATATGACACGACTGAGTTAAGTTCGGCTCGGCGGTTGCATCCTTGGTAGTATCGTTTCCACTTTCAGAATGAAGGGAAATGCTGTCACCATCTTCAGAGGGTGTTTCTTCAGAAGGAGCTGAACAAAATCGTGAGCAGTGAACATACCATTCGCTCCTTCCAGAAAAGCCAGCAACTCCGATCAGCAGCAGTGTCGAAATACTGTCAACAGTTCCTGCGACTTAGCTCCCCAACTTTGCGTACGCGGTTGAACTCCCTCAGCATCAGATTAAACACGCCCTTTTGTTCACCGACGAGTTTTGAATGATGAGTGTGCCAGTGAGATGGGCTGTGAGAGCGCGCAACAGGCTATAGTTGGTAATCGGCAAGGAGGCGATGAGGAGTGATTTTTTAGCCCTTTTGATAGCAGCTGAGCTCCCGCTGAGACGGTATAGAATGCACCTGAAAAAGACTGCAGGCAGACGAGCAACCTCAATGGACTCTTCGACGAGTAGCACACCAAAGATAGCTCTGGGGATATGAATTATCGCCTTGTCCATAGGCCAACAAGTCAAATGCAATGAACTACTGTACAGAACACATACATGCGATAATAATACTATATACATTATCAACTTAAGTGGAAGTCGCCAGTTTTGCGACACGTCAATGCAGAAAAATGAAACAAGATGTGTTCGCCATTCAATGTTGCAACATTGATGGTGAGTATTGGCTTAGGCGTCCCCTTCCTGCAATTCCAACGACCACAAGGTTTGTTCGGCCTCGAATTCCTTCGACTTCCAGTCTTCCAATTCTTCACCCATTGCTCTCAGCAACAACAAAAATTGTTCGAATCTAGCTTGAGCGGCCACTCGACCCCCACGAACAGTGTGGTGCGCGCTTTTTGCTATCTTTAATAGTGACTTCCGGTCAGAACTGCAGAAGTCGACCATCGAATACTGCGAGTAATATATGGTGAGCAGTTTGCCAGCAACAGATAGAGTCTAGGCTACCATGTGGCGGAAACATTCATTGCTAGGAGTCTCCACACTACTCGAGTTCTCAACAATGTATCCACTGGTTGGACTGCCTGTGCGTCTCAAAGGGGAGGACATGAAAATAGTCATCGGCATCTGAGATTGGAGGGGCAATTCGATTATGTTGGGAGATCTTGAAGGTGCATGCGCATAAGGTGATGTGAGGGGGGATGAGGGAGCAGGTGTGGGAGAGTTCGACATCTGCAGATGCTAGTGAGTGGTGAACAGCACGAAAGCTAATATGTACTAAGACAACCGCAGTCGCGTGATTCCAAGCGATTTCAATACAATTTATAGCGGAGATTTGGAGGTACGTAAGACTGTAGGGGGCACACACCAAGCCAATATTACCAAGCTATGCCAAGAGCTGAGTTAGCGCTTGCAGGCAATGCTCCTTCAAGGAACGATTTTGATTGGCTGACTATGCTACAGATGAATGAACGATGTTAATTGGCACAGATTTGAATGAACGATTTTGATTGGCTGACTTGCTACAGATTTGAATGAACGATTTTAATTGGCTGAGGCTCAGCCAATTAAAATCGTTCATTGTTTGCAGATGAGTCATTACCTAAAGTACACAGAACAAAAAGTGATCCGGCACGATACACTCCAGGTTTAGCTTAAGGATAGCTGGAGTGAGTAGAAAATGATGCCAGGTCTATTGATAAGCTTAAATACCTGAATGGATTGACACTATACACAATGCCACCATATCCGCAGGGCCACCGCTATGACAGCCACGACTCTCACACCTCTAGCCGCAATGACGCAGCCGAAGCGATCTTGCTTGGTGTCAGTGCCAGTAACTCTGCTACAGACAACGCGTCGGAGGACCCCTTTGCCGGAATTCCTTTCAGTGGAAACTACACTTGCACTCCGGGGGCGGGGAATTTGGCATATGGACGAGCTGCCCCAGATGTAGACCGCGCCTGGAAGCACGAAGAGGAATATCAGCAACTGAAAAGGGTAAGTACATACCCTATTTACCAAACATATCCTCATTGCTGTTTTTCAGGACGTTGAGGATTGGAATGCTCAAGTTGAAGATACCACTAAGATCTTGCCCCTTTTGAAGAGAAGGCAAATGTTTTCAGATGTACCGGACGCCGTGAGTATTGTTGCATATCCTTCCACAGATGATTTACTTTTGATAGACTCCCTGCAAGTTTGGGTACAGCAAGACCAACTCTCCGGGACGCGCTGAGTCAGCTCCTGTTGGTTCTATTGCGCCAAAGAAGCATAGACGGCTGCAGGCGCCGTTTGAGTTCAGTTCGCGCCCAACACGGTCTAAGACCATTGTCGAGGCAATGTCTAGCATCGAGGGTGCTATTGAAAGGCAGACTTTAGTTCTTTCTAGGATCTGCGAAGCTCTAGGCTGTCACTGAATTTATTGTCACTGATGAGCTAATATATATACAGTCAACACATTTGTACTTAGTCTTTGCTTTTGAAATGTTGATGAAGGAGCAAATTCGTCTCAGAGAACCCTTTTGATGGTGCGCAAATTGCAATGAATTTGAGGGTAGTGTCTGTTCGAAGGAACACTATGTATACATTTACGGCCCGACTGTATACATCGAAGCTAAGATAAACGAAATGGGTGAACAGTACATGCGCTACCAATTGAATGTACCAACCTCCTGGTTTCCGGTGAAGCGGGTAGGAATCCCGCATAATGTCCAGGAAGAATGTATGCTGTATATAAGAAGAAGTCAGTGGATTTATTTTCACAGAAACGCACACGTATTTTCCCTCACCGTCACTCCTGTTGTCAGTCGCACCTCATTGTCATCGCATTGGTACGATCAAAAATAGGTCGACACAGTCTTCATTTTTCCCTTGGCTTGGAGCCCTGGAAAGGCGAAGAAAGTGGGGATCTAAAAATGAGGCGTTTGTTCATGGAGGTCAGTTCAACAGGGAGGATGTAGTTCACAACAAGACTTGGAGAACGTCCCAAGAATGTCTGATTGAAGGCTCAAATAAAGCACCTGACTCGGTTTGTAAGAGACCAGAGCAACCCTTATTGAGGTGCGTCCACACAGGTACTCATAGTTGGTCGTGCTTTTGGTCAGAATGCAAGCTAAAAATGTTTTAGCCTGGCACGAAGGTGCGCCTGTCTTTCTTCAATGCTTACTAGATGCTCGTGGAGCTAGGAGATGACCAGAACGCGCGAGAGAGTACGTTAGATGCTCGTGAATGTGATCGCGCGCTTCTGGGAGAAGACAAGAACGACGTGCGTTATCTACGCGCATGTGTACGCGTTTGCTCGCTTAGTAAGCACTATTTGTTCGTAGGCTCACATAACAATCAAACTGCACTTGTATTGGCTGCTGGGGGCAGCAAGAATGCCGGAATCCAGTGGTCCATCTGCCGAATTGCCGCGAGCGTCGACCCCACTATGCAATCACACTTCTCTCTTCACATTACGAATGTGTTAGTGGTGAGTCACATTCGTTTTGGCCCAATCGCTGTGCCACTTGACAGCACAGCGTGCAGGGCTCAAGCGCCCACAAGCAATTATGTTGCCTTTCAGATATCACGCCGCGTGAATATTCGGTCTAGTCGTCATATAAAAAGGACCGTGCTGCCCTTGTATAAGTTAAGGGTTCCCCAACCTCTGCGCCCTCCGCTTCTCTAACTTTGCTCCATGGCTATAGAATCCTGCTCTGACCACGAGGATGACGCTGCTGTTGTTCGTGCTAAACGACGCATTGCAGCTTTGGAACATGAGGTTGAGGTTCTCAAGGCCAGTAACAAGCGAGTCAAGCCGTACGTCTTTCGCCTCCTTTTGACTTGGTGATCTCACTCCAAATGCGTAAAGGCAAGCCGACTCTAACGTACACAAAGGACGAGCCATTCGTCGGTTGGTGTCCTTGTTCGATGGCCTCGAGGATCTCATAGCCGAAAACGACCGACGTGAAGAGTTGCTAGACTCGTCGGATTCGCCAGATCAGCTCGTCTCTACTCAAGAGTAAGTCATTCTCCTTGATCGGGTTGTAGATCTCTTAACTTGGACCAGCGAGGACAGGACCATCAAGTCATTCAATGAACTTATTTGTTGCCTTCCTTGGCTGAAAAAAAAACTTTCGTCGGATGTTGATGAACTTGATTCCATTTTGAAAGACGTGAGTACTTCTTTTTGGAATCATCTCTGCATCGCTGATTCTGTGTTGTTAGTTGCGTAAAGGCGCGGACAGCGCCCGAGGGGATGATACCGCCAATCTCAAACATGCGATTGTTACGTGGCTCACCGAACTTTTTCACCCCCTGGACCCGCCTCTTCACACAGCTACTAAAGATGATCGTGGGTTTGTCCATCACATCACAGGCAAGCTCCTGTGTCCTATAGAGTATACTTGGTCTCTCAACTCGTAAGTCCCATCTGCACGATGTAGCATTAGCGTATTCACCACCCGGATAGGACCAAGGAAAAGATCAGGGACAGGGACCCTGACTACCTTGTCACAGCTTACTCTTGGCCGGCATTTCTATACACGGACTACACTTTTGACCCTGGCAACATTGAAAGGGGGCTCTTTCGTTCAGCTCTACTGATCAAAGTAAGTCGCGCCGTTTCAAGTGACCAACACTACTTATTTAAAATAAAGGCCTTCAAACATCTATTTACATCTCCATCTTCTGCCAAAGAAGTTGAAGGTGATGGTAATGGTGCTGATGCTATTGTAGCCTCTCAACGCCGCCGGTCCTCCGAGAGCGACGCGGCTACTCGTAGCCACGTGGCAAATATTATCGGCATGAAGGTGGTCACCCCACGATCCATCGCCTACACTGCTTGCCAGGTTCGTACGAGCGCCTTCACACCTTCAGGACTAATCTTACCTGTAGCTTCGGTTTTCCCTCTCCAATGTCAACTCCTGGCGGAGTATTGACGGCGACTTCGATTATTATGTTTTCTACAACAATATAGTTGACTTTTTCGAGGTTGCGCCTGGCATTGACGCCCAAGCTCGCATCAAGGAGTTGTTAAAGTGGTGGAACAGGTAATATTCTCAGTTTCTCGCGTCGCGACTTGTCTCATTCTTGACAGGAAGGTTTTTGGAAAGACTCGCGCTATACCCCTTACACAGGCTCAGCTGGGGAGGTTCTCCGTGTCTAGAATGACTTCGCAGAGAACCGTGCACGAGGGAGGTTCTCCGTAAGGCTAGACTCTGCAACTATATAAATTCCCAGACTGTAGACATATTAGTTTGAGAATACATATTATTTGTTTGCCCGAACCAGCCAATTTTGCTTCCTGAGACCAGTGTGGCCTCTGACAGATAGTCTTGGGAACGGTTGCTTTTGTTGATTAATTTTACAACGGTCGCTTAACACTAAGCTACACGTTTGAACCTGGCATCCGCAGCATTTATTGATTGGTTTGGTGCCAGCGGGCCAATGCACACACACCAGGTTGAGATTGACAGTACCCTAACTAATGAAAACAAATTTCATTTGGAATCATAGATGTTGAAACAGCGAAGATAACACCTTGAGTTGACATGGTTTCATTCATGGACAGCTTTCCCTAGAATGGTCAACGACTGTGGGTCAAATCGACTTCGTGTACCCCGAAAAAAGTTGTATGTTGTTCCCGATCTTCGACCATGTTACTGATTCTAGCGAGACATCGACTATGGATACATATCACCCATCAATTCACGTTTGCACTCTCC